TGAACATCCCCACAGCCAGCGGCGGGCTCACCCCCTTGCACCTGGCCGCCCTGCAGGGACACGAGCTGCTCATCAAAGTGCTGGTGGGAGCTTACGGGGCGGACCCCAGCCGCAGGGACCACAACGGGCGCAAGGCTTGGCAGTACCTGAGGGCAGACACCTCCAGGGAGCTGAAGGAGCTGGCGGGGGCCTTGGAGGAGGACCTGGTCCAGCTGCGCTCTCACAACACCAACAACAACTGTAAGTCATCCAGAGAGGCCAGGGCAGGGCGGGACTGTGTGGACTCCAGGGCTGAGGGGAAAGCCCAGCGCTCCTGGAGCCTGTCGACCCTCCGGGACTTTGTCAGACAGAAATTTGCTTTCTTCCAAGAGCGCTGAAGCTCCCCTGGCCTATTCGCCTGCAAACCTGCGCTGAATAGCAGCTGGAAGAGCCTGCGGGGAGCTGGGAACCTGGTGAGGGCTGGCACTCGAAATCCCAGCCAAGCAGGGATTAACCCCCTGAACAGGGGCACCACAGCCACCCTGGGTCTCTCATGGTCTTTTTGGGCTGTGCCAGTCTGAGTGTGCGTGGGGCAACCACGGCCATCGGGAGCACTGCCTGGGGACAGCCCTTCCAAAACAACGCCTGTCCCCGGAGGGGGTTTTGCCCCCTGCCCCTGCTGATGGGCAACCCCCACGGCGGGGGCTCACGTGCCGGCCCCGCTGCGGGGAGCTGCTTCTCCGACACCCTGCGTGCCCGTGGGGGGATGCTGACCCACCACGGGAGATGGTGTCCCGTGCTGGGGACCAGGGGTGGACATTTGGGCTGCCTGTCCCAGGCTGCCAGCAGACTTGGCGTGTGACTGTCCATGGGTCACGCAGCAACTCGGTGACTTGGTTCTCCCATCTGTATAATGAGGCCATCGGCACTGCCCTGGCTCCCAGCAACGCTGTGAGGTTGGACTGGTCATGGTACCTCGGGTGCCTGGATGGAGACACTGGCAGAATATAGTTAAATATTTCGCAACCATACCCTGAGATGCCAGAAGCCTGGCACTGGGCTGACGATGGAGAAGCAACTGTGGCTTCAGAATGAAACACCCCGCCCCCCCAAACACTTTTTTATGTGTGCTTCTCTGCCGGCAGGGAGAATGGGTACAGACAAGCAGACTGTGCCACCGAGCTGCAAATGCTTTCCAGCTCCCTGTGAGATCCCCAGATCTCTGCCACGTGTGCCTCCTCTGTGTTGCTGTTTCTCAGTAAAGTAGGAGCTGGAATGCCCGGTTTGCCAGAGGAGGCCGGGCCCAGAGAGGTCTTCCAAAGTGCAAGACAAGTCCCCCTGGCAGCCCTTCCCTGGGGACCCCCGTCTATTGGAGCCTGAGACGCTCAGCCCCACTGGGGACGGGGACGGGGACGGAGCGGAGGAGGCAGGAGGGACGCCCGGTGGGGTGGCATGCGGTGGCTCCCGCAGGGACTGGAGTCCAGGAGCAGCTCTGGAAAGATGATTAATTGCTCAAAAGCATGGAAAAAGTATGAAGGCTGTGAGATTATCTTTGTTGCTACTGAGGTCATGCTCAAAAACGAAACTCTTGAGAAACATCCCTACAGCAGTGTAACCCCACGTGTATGTACCGGTAACTGCATTAAAAGGGCAAAGCTTCTGCTCGCCTGTTTGTGTTTTGTTCACCAAATGGAGCTCTGCCCAGCTGATTTCAACTTGCTTTTCTCATTCTCGAAGGCCAGGGCTGCTTGAAAGTATCTTCAGAAAAACAATGGCCCCTTCCTCTTTTTCATCAGCGTGAGACCATTTCCACCCCCTTAAATAGCAGTCCCATTTGAGAAGTGTCTCTCAGACAGCAGCTGGGGAGTTTCTGTTCCCCATCGCAGAGTGGCAGCCCTTGCAGAGACACCTCGCTTCGGAGGGGAGTCGCAGTTTCTTTCCAGCTGCCTTTCTGGGGGTCTGCAGAGGTGACTGAGGGACTCGAGATGATTGCTGGCCTGGCTGCGCAGGTGAATTTGCACATGGATGCAGAAAGATACATGGGTAACTCCCTCGGGGGAACCTGAGCCTGTGGGTTTCACAGCCCCTGAGCAAACCCTGTTTATATTCAGATCGTGCTCTGAAATGCTGCTCGGACACCAGAATAACCCAGTCTGCAGTGGATGATACATGGAGGAACAGCCTCCAGACGAGCATATAGTGATCCGGTGACCAGAGAGTGTCCAGTCCAGGTGCCTGGGTGGACACATACACATGTCTGGACATCTTTTTAATCACTGAGGTCAGCAGCGGAGACATACGAAACACACTGGGAATGGACTTCGTGCCTCATCTATACCTGTTTTGTAATGCTTTAACTCTAATAGATTAAAGACTACGGCAGCATAGCTCCTTCCAGAACTTCTCTGGCCGCAGCCGTGCCCCAGGGCAGCAGGCTGGCTTCTCACGAGTCTGGTGACACCAGCAGAAGCTCCATGAAAAGCACAGATGTCAAAACAGCTGCGATCTTTAGTTCTGGTAACCAAAGTGCTGTTGATAAGACAGGTGGGTGCATGTCTGATGAAATATTTTTTGACCTGTTAATCCTCCGTCACGCTTTTGCAGTAGCGTACTGCCAGGGAGAGGGTGCGGGACAGCTCTTATATCCTCCTCTGAGTAAGGCAGAGAGTAAACAACGGAATTAGTGAGAATTTCCTTGAAGGAGCCGCTTCCTTGGTATTTGGACCTGCAGCTTAGTCACGCGCCAGCAGGAAACCTGGACTTCAATGTTCCATTCAAAAGTAAAATTCAACTGGCAAACGCTACACTTAAATACAACTAAATGATTTTTAGAAATTGCCTCCCCTTGACAGCTAACCAAAACCCCCTAAAGGCAGCTTTTCCCCCCCATCTTTTGGTCGTGGGTTTGAAGCAGTATTCTGCTCTGTGGCAAATTAGGCAGGCGCTTCAGGAGCAAGACCAGAGCCCTTCTCTGCATGGTGTTACAACACACTCACCAACGCCTCCCCCTGCCTTGCCTGCCCTGCAAGGGTTCCTCTCCACAGAGCAAAAAAAAGATCTTCTTCAAATCGCAGCACCCTTTCTGCTGCTGTACCTTGTGTTTGCCCCAACCACCACACCGCTGGCAGTGACCCAACCCCCCTGCCTCGCACAGTGCCTTTTCATACCTATAGAGGGGCAGTCGGTTTGGAAATACGGACGCGTTTAGAAAATATTCCTCAGGTACGCAATCAGCTCTAACTTCTCACTCAGAAAAGCAAAGCATATCCACCAAAATTAATGGACTAGAATATCCAAATTATTTAGACTTTTTTTTAAAGCTTCTGTTGATGTCTCAGTTATCGTGTGTTAGCCCAGTTCTGCAGAGATCCCTGATTCCCCCGCCGCAACTCTCACAGGGAGGGAGAGGGCACAGAGAGCTGCCACAGGAACAACAGAAATAATTCAAACCCAGAGGTATTTGTGTTGGTTAAGTCTCTGCAGAAGATTGATTTTTAACCCAATGTTAATTTGTACTAAATTTACTTGGTGCTATCCTTTAAGGTCCAATTTGAAAAGCAGATTCGGTCAAATGGGGAGGGGTTATATTCCAAAGCAGGTCCTTGGTAGAAGCTGCTTCCATCTAATAAAAATAGCACAGTCATGATAGTAATAGGGAGACTATCTAATAAATAGTAATAAATAGTTCAATCTATTGCTCAGGAAAGCTGTCCCACAAATGCCATGGAGAAAACTGTCTCTTTCCATTCTTAAGTCCATAAAACTACTTTTTTGCTCCTCAGCCAGGCCCCCATAGACACGATGAAAGAGGAACTCTGCCAGCAGCTTTGCCTGCCAGCAGCCATGGTGGGGAGAGGCAGGGGGTGGCTCGCAGGGCTCCAGGGCTGATCTTCGATCCTCAGCAGTGCTGTTATTTCCTGAACACTTGCTTCAAAGAGGAGAGCACAGAAGAGATTTATAAAAAACACTGGGGTAAAAAGTGTTTGCAGCACGTGGGCCCCTGTGGAAACATCTCTGGCAATGCTGTTTGCTGCTTTCCTGTCGCAGTGACTTACTGCTTCCCCCAATAACAAAGTAGAAACTAGACTCTTACCAGACAGGAAAAGAAGGTAGAAGATACCTCTGAAGTGTCCTGAAGCTGGTAAAAATCCCAGCCTTGCTCTCCTGTGCTCACAGAAACCTCCAGCACACCTTAGGGAGCGTCATGAGCTCTGAGCAAGGCGTACGTTTGTTACGCACTTATGCGTGCTTGGCGTATGCTGCAGCCCAGCCTTATGAATGGTAACTTGGAGGAGATAAATCTGTTTACCTTCAACATGAAAAGCAGCAACGCAGAAGGTGTGGCAGCTTGAAGCTTCCTCAGGAAGCTGTCACCCAGGAACTGAGCCACCACGGCAGGCTGAACCCAGAAACAGCACCAGGGCACTGCGCAGCTCTCAGCGTCAGGACGGGCTTTGCCGCAGCCCTACCCAAGAACCAGCTCGCACCTTGTTATTTCCAGAGCCTCTACCCCGGGTCTGCCCTGCAGAAGGGAAAGGAGCAGCAGCCACGCTGGGCTCTGTGCTCTCCTCCCCTTCCCTGCAGTAAATAGGTGATGTTTCACAGGCCGCAGAGGAGAATGCCGGTGTCAGGGACCTAGAGTGCCGACTACTCTGATCAGTGTAATTCCTTCTTTCCTCTCTCCCCTTTTTTAAATAGCTAACTCTTCCTTCGAGCAACATCTTGAGTTACTACCCTTCTGCTGAGAATGTTTTAAATTAAGCTGCACCTGTGGCTGGCATCAAGACCAACTTGATCAAGCCAACAGAGAGCTCCAAACAAAACTCAGGTTATTTTATGTCCTAGGGAACATGCAGACATTATGTACTACAGTCCATAGGAGTACTGTATTTTGTAGGACATAAATCTAACCACTGCCCTTGCTGTATTCTTCCCTTTCCTAAGTGAAATTTTATTTCATGGGATTATTCCACTGCACCCGCTCCCCAGGCAGGATCTTAACACCGGGCTCCAAGGGCTGCCCTGCCCCACGTCCTGCCTGAGGAGCTCCAGGTGCTGCTGGCATGGGGGCCAGACTCGCACGGGGCAAGAAGCCGCCGTCCTTGGCTGACCGCAGGCGCGAGGCTCCCAAGGAGCCAGCTAGCACAGGCTGGCCTTCGGGGCCAGCCATGCCGGTACGCTGCTCAGGCGCAGGGCAGGTGGTCTTGGTAGTCAAGTATCACCAATCATTGCCAGCTCCGTGTTCTCGCTCCCTGGGCAAGTATTTTCACAGTACTCTGGGCATGTAACATTTCAGCATTTGCCCAGTACCGTAGTGCCATCATTCGCACTGTTCAACACTTGCAGTTCAGACATGCTCTGCCATGAATAAAACAAGAGGTTATCTGACTGACCAACAGGCCCAGCTACACCTTGCTGTGCGCTCTACCCTGGATGTTCAAAAGGGTCACGTGGGAGATGACAAGTCGAGAATCCACAGCTGTGACAGGAGCCAGCCACAGGGAACAGACATGCATCCAGTGTGTAAGCATAATGTAAGAGAGGGTGGCAACTGGGGACTCTCTTGGTTTAGCAAAAGGTTTTGTTAGTTTGGATGCCCCTCCCCTACCACAGCACACCTCAAAGGGGAAGCCACCTTACCCCAGAGCATTTTCAGTGTGCTTTGCTTTCCAGTCCCAGGAAACACATCCAGCAGCTATACTGACACATCTTCAGCAAATCTGACAATGCTTACTTTTCTTAGTAACATTTCATAAATCTACCAGAAATGTAATCCAAAGCCTTCCCCGGGGTCAAGTAGTAAGAGGCTGACACTCCAGAGTTACTGTAGCCATGGTGGTCTATGGATCGTAAAGTGAGGTCTGCCTTTTTCTAACCTGCCTCTAAAGGACTTTAACTATTTCAGTTTGTCTAATAAAAGATCTTCTTCAAATCATCTCCTCTAAAATCAGTTGATTTTTACTCCTTTTCTTTAAAAAATTGGTATGCTCTGCTCTCAAAGTAAGTGAAAAGGAAGACGCAGCCTACCCTATGTGAAAAGAGCTGACAAGGTTTCTAACACCAACTGAGATTATATTCACAGTAATGTTAGTTTTCATTCTCTGTTACTATCCCACCATATATATATGGAATAATTTCAACCAAGTCATTCAGGTCTGTATTTATTAGTAAGCCTGTACACTGTCAATACTCATGATGCCTGAAAGAAAGAACACTAATAGAACACGGTCTTCATGTTTCAGATGCAAATTATTTCAAGATTTTCCCAAGTTAACATCAATATCCCAGACCAGCTTATAAAAAAAAAACAAAAACAAAACATCGGGGATTGCAGATCAACACTACAGAAGGAATCACTTGGGGGTCGCCGAACAGCGTAGAAGGTGTATCCATCTGACGCAGAAAGACAAGTGTTTAATTAGAATTCCCAGGAGACAGTCTCTCTTACAAGCCCAGCTTGGTCCTTCTCCAGTGTCTCCTCTTGGAGTTGTACCTAAGACAAAAGCAGTGTAAATTAGCAAAGTGCACACAGACGTTTGAGGATCCAGGAGGACTGAAACCACCCTGAATTAGCTCAACAGTAAAGGACTGAAATCGTTCTTGTGTGCTACAGTGGCAAGCTACCAACAATAATCAGTTGTATACTTACTTTTTAAAATTGCCATGTCTGTTTCTTCCTTCATTCACTAACTAACTAGCACATTACTGCAACAGCATCTAAACCTCAGAGAGAGAAAGATGCCTGCGGAGAGATGCGTCAGCACTGGCATGTGAATATCCTACCTCCTCTCTTGGAGGCAAGACCCGTGATCTTGTATTGATTGTCCGACGATAACGAAAACTACCTCTTGAATGTAGTTCATAGCCTAACACAAAAAGTATCATCTTTGTTCAAAATATGAAAGGAAAAGATCCTCTTCCAGGAAAGTATATTCATTTATCAGTGTACTTGTATACTTGTACATGTTAAGAACAAACGGTTTCACCACCGTACAGGTGAAGCCAAAGACAGCATTAACAGAGTTACTCTCAGCATGAAAATGGCAGTACTCCCACAGAATGAAGCACTGTAATTGCAGCCTGCTTTAGCAGAGTTTGGGTAAAACTGATGACCGAGGTACTGAAGTGCCACAAGACAAAAAATTCATGATTTTGCTCCATGATAAAGTATTCCAAAGTACTGCAATTTAGCTAAACCAGAACCCTGTTTGGTACCTGGAAGACAAGAATACAGTCCGGGACACACAACACTGATTTTTCCTAGAAAGAAACAAGTTAGCAGAAGGAACAGGAACAGAACTTGGCAATTCTGTGACATTTCACTGCCTGAGCCAGCCACTACTACTGTCATTCTCCTCACTACTTAGGACAAAAAACGATCTGGGAGAAAGAATCCAGTTCCCTTAAAAAGTCTAGACAAGGGAGTCTATGAGATAAAAAGTTAGCTGCACAGCGCGAGTGACCGAACTATACTGGTTGAAGCTTTTAAACCAGAGGGCTCAGATATGCACCTCCTTCAGCATGCCTCACATTCACCTACTGTTCTACAGTACTCTCACTGCATTTTCCTAAATACAATGCTTGAAAACAAACACTATAGGCAAACAAAAAGGAACTGCTGCAAAGTAATTCTGCAGTCACGTCAAGAATCTCATGCTATCAATTTCACCTCCGTACACCAAAGAAGCCCTTTGCTCCCTTACGCACAACCTTCTGTATCTCAGAACACGCACACTCGGGAAGGTACTGCTCCTAGAAAATGCAGGAACTCGAGAGGGACAGACAGCTATGAGAGAGGGGACAGGTGTGGGGAAGGGGAACGTCAGAAGCAGAGAGGTTACCAGGGTACAGATTCTGGAGTAAGTTATCCACACGGACAGTTCACGCTTTCAGTTTCGACGTGCCATCGCTGAGTACCTGTGGATGCTTGCAGAGCACTGGAGTGAACTCAACTGCTACAGAAGGAAAGGGCATGGCAGCCCCACACCGCCTCAAGAAAGCGCAACGGGCCAACAGTATCTGCTGCAGTTGTGTATCTGCACTAGCATACTTGTATGGTATTCACTTTGGCCACAAAATTGCACTTTTGCTTGCATAAAGGCTTTTACACAGCCAGCTTCTGACTTCCGTCCACACCGCACAGGCAGCCTGACGTAGAGCCTGTGCGGCTGTAGGCCGCAGTTCCTCAGAAAGCAACAGCCGGCGCCATTACCTGATCTTATTGCCCGTTTTCATGCGAATCCATTGCGGGATAGGCCGGTTCTGCTTCTGCTTCTTAGCGAGGAAGCGTTTGATCTTGAACGTCTTG